CTGCCTAATTTGTTGCCTCCTAAAGGAAATGGTCTATTCTTGCCGAATGCGAGTAGCTTCCTTCCTCCGAGCATGGCTCAGTTCCCGGCTGATTCAGGTTTTATAGAGCGTGCTGCGAGGTTTTCGCTCTTTAGCGGTGGGAATTTTAGTGATATGGTGAATCAACCACTTGGGAATCCTGAGGCGATTGGTTTGTTTCTTCAAGGTGGTGGAACAATGCAAGGGCAGTGCCAAAGTAATGAACTTAATGTCGGTGAACTTCACAATGATGCATCTACAGTAGTGAAAGAACCAAATGTTAGATCAAGTGAACAATTAAAACCGAATGTTCCTGGCTCGGGGAATGTATCTGAGGATACTCAGTCTAGTGGTGGTAACGGTCAGAAAGGCGGGGAAACCTCTTCCAAAGGCTTTGACACAAGGAAAAGGAAAAGAAACGGGCAGGTAAAGATTTGAAGTTACTCTTTTATTTTCGTTCTCTCTGCCTTTATAAAAATTAACACTCGTAGTATTTCGGTTTGTAGAATTCTGAAGCAGCTCAATCACACAGATCTCAGCAGTCTGAGGAAGAACCAGACAGCAATGGTGATAAAAAGCGGAATAATGAGCAAAGTCCAAATTCACCTGGGAAGAAGACAAATAGTGGGAAACAACAGGGCAAACAAAGTTCTGATCCTCCAAAAGATGGATATATTCATGTGCGGGCTCGAAGAGGCCAGGCCACAAATAGCCATAGTCTTGCAGAAAGGGTACAATTTTTAAAACTATCTTGGAATTTGAAGTTGAATAGAAGCTATCTCTTCTTGTATTCTCATGTAATTACTTTGTGATTATAGGTTAGGAGAGAAAAAATTAGTGAAAGGATGAAGTTTCTTCAAGATCTTGTACCAGGTTGCAACAAGGTAAGGTCTTAAAGCGTTGATAATGATTGATATTAATATGTAAGAACGCAGACAGAACTAATGCAGAAAAATGATTGTGTTTGCAGGTGACTGGGAAGGCAGTAATGCTTGATGAAATCATAAACTACGTACAATCACTACAACGCCAAGTTGAGGTATGACATTTCCTAATTCTCAAGGAAGTGCTCTTTGTGTTTGCTTCTTGTAATCAATTTTTGTCTTTTCTCATTTTCTTCTCTTTTGCTTGAACAGTTTTTATCGATGAAACTTGCGACTGTGAACCCACAAATGGACTTTAACCTTGAAGGTCTTCTTGCCAAAGATGTAAGATATTTTTGCAAGTCGTTCAATTAAATATTCTCCTTATCATTTAAATCTTCCTAAGGTTCTTATAAACAAAATTTCCTATCTGCAGGCACTTCAACTACGAGCTGGTTCTTCATCTACAACACCATTCCCCCCAAATATGTCAATGGCTTATCCTCCTTTACCACATGGATTCATGCAACAGACCCTTTCCAGCATCGGAAGGACCATTAGTTCTCCTTTGTCTCCTACAAATGGTGGATTCAAGCGACAGGTATGTAATATAAGCAGTCTGGAAAATGAACAAATCCGAACTCAAAAATCTAATGTTGTTGGTGATTATTTTTGCAAACTAGGATACAAATGGATGGGAGGGTGATTTGCAAAACGTGATCCACATTAACTATGGAGCTGGTGAAGTCACACCTGATCCTCAAGCAGCAGCTACAGGTGCAAACTGAAACCTGTTGTACTCTTTTTTCACTTAAGTAATAATAGTTTCTTTTGGTTAAACCTTCTTCTGCAATTTTTTTCTTGTTACAGCATCTCTTCCAGCTGCAAATATGAAGGTTGAGCCATGATATTTCTTCTTGTTAGATAGAATATAAAATTATTGTAATCTTCTTTCTTTCTTTTTTTTTAAATTTATTTAAAATTACTATGTACTATATTATGATGATGTTACTATTAACGAATATGATACTACGACTGTACTAGAGATTTGTGAACGAAGAGTACAAATTGTAAACACCAACAATGCAAAATAGTTTTGCATAAGTTGCAACATTTTTAGTTTGTTATTGTGATTTCGTTGTGACGACGAAAATGCCTTACCACGAGCTATATGGAATTATATAACTCGTTTTCAAAATTTGCAAAAATAAATGTTATAAAATATAAATACAAGTAACCGATTGGTTTAGTCCGTCAGATTTGACTTTATTCTTAAACCAAAAAAATAGTAACGGATGACTATGGCGTCGAACTACTACTCTGCTCAGATAAAGCAATGCATTGGGTTGGGAGCTAGAAATCAGAGTCGCCATGTGAAGATGATCCATGGGAATATTATCAGAACACTTCTTCATCCAGAGACATTTTTGTATAACAACATCGTCCACGCTTATGCTGTAGTCAGAAGCTCCACTTATGCACGCCGAGTGTTCGATGGAATTCCCCAACCAAACCTTTTCTCCTGGAATAATCTTCTTTTGGCTTATTCAAAATCCGGGCATCTCTCTGAGATGGAACGTACCTTTGAGAAGCTTCCTGATCGTGATGGTGTCACTTGGAACGTGCTTATTGAAGGCTATTCCTTGAGTGGATTGGTTGGTTCAGCTGTCAAGGCTTATAATACGATGATGAAAGATTTTTCTTCTAATTTGACTAGGGTCACGTTGATGACAATGCTGAAACTTTCTTCTAGCAATGGACATGTTAGTTTGGGCAGGCAGATTCATGGTCAAGTTATCAAGCTTGGGTTTGACTCTTATCTTTTAGTTGGGAGCCCATTGTTGGATATGTATGCAAAAGTTGGTTTCATCTCTGATGCAAAGAAGGTTTTTTACGGGCTAGATGATAGAAATACAGTTATGTACAATTCACTGATGGGAGGGCTTTTGGCATGTGGGATGATCGAAGATGCTCTGCAGTTATTTCGAGGAATGCAGAAAGATTCAGTTTCTTGGTCAGCTATGATTAAAGGTCTTGTTCAAAATGGACTGGAAAAAGAGGCTATTGAATGTTTCAGAGAGATGAAAATAGAAGGCTTGAAGATGGATCAATATCCTTTTGGAAGTGTACTACCTGCTTGTGGTGGATTAGGAGCAATAAACGAAGGGAAACAAATTCATGCTTGTATAATCAGAACCAATCTTCAGGATCACATATATGTAGGCAGTGCTCTAATTGACATGTATTGCAAGTGTAAGCTTTTACACTGTGCAAAGACTGTGTTTGATAGAATGAAGCAGAAGAATGTCGTGTCTTGGACAGCAATGGTTGTGGGTTATGGCCAGACTGGACGTGCTGAAGAAGCTGTTAAAATTTTCCTTGACATGCAAAGAAATGGAATTGACCCAGATCATTATACTTTGGGACAAGCGGTCAGTGCATGTGCCAACATAGCTAGCTTAGAAGAGGGCTCCCAGTTTCATGGAAAAGCTATAACTTCTGGCCTAATACATTATGTCACTGTTTCAAATTCATTGGTGACTCTGTATGGAAAATGTGGAGATATTGATGATTCTACTAGGCTGTTTAACGAGATGAATGTCAGGGATGAAGTCTCTTGGACTGCAATGGTTTCCGCATATGCCCAATTTGGAAGGGCCATTGAGGCTATTCAGTTGTTTGATAAAATGGTACAACATGGACTAAAACCTGATGGAGTGACTTTGACTGGTGTTATTTCGGCTTGCAGTAGGGCAGGATTAGTGGAGAAAGGACAGAGATATTTTGAGTTAATGATAAATGAATATGGAATAGTGCCGAGTAATGGCCATTATTCATGCATGATTGATCTCTTCAGTCGATCCGGAAGGTTAGAGGAAGCCATGTGTTTCATAAATAAAATGCCTTTCCCTCCAGATGCCATTGGTTGGACTACTTTACTCAGCGCATGCAGAAATAAATGTAACTTGGAAATAGGTAAATGGGCAGCTGAATCACTCATAGAATTAGATCCTCATCATCCTGCTGGCTATACCCTATTATCTAGCATATATGCTTCAAAAGGGAAATGGGATTGTGTGGCACAGTTAAGGCGGGGAATGAAAGAGAAGAATGTGAGAAAAGAACCCGGACAGAGTTGGATCAAATGGAAAGGAAAATTGCACAGTTTCTCAGCTGATGACGAGTCAAATCCATATTCAGATCAGATATATGCTAAGCTCGAGGAATTGAACGAAAAAATCATAGGAAATGGTTACAAACCAGATACCAGTTTTGTCCACCATGATGTTGAGGAAGCTGTTAAAATAAAAATGCTTAACTATCACAGTGAAAGGCTTGCTATTGCTTTTGGATTGATATTTGTACCCTCAGGCCTACCTATTAGAGTAGGAAAAAATCTTAGAGTGTGTGTGGACTGCCACAATGCTACAAAACATATCTCCAGCGTTACTGGTAGAGAGATACTTGTCAGAGATGCTGTTAGATTTCACCGTTTTAAAGATGGAACTTGCTCATGTGGAGATTTCTGGTAGTTTTCATCTTGGAATTATCATGATGACTACCCATTGCTAATCTGAAAAATCAAAACAGACTCAGGAAGATTAAGTTTATTTTGGATAATGAGTCGCTTCATCAGCTATCGTGGGGATAAAAAAGAGGAACAAGTAGGACGAATCTCTCTTCGCTTTAATATTTTTTTTTGGTTTTCAATCCTAGTCTTCTAATTTTATTAATGCTGTAAATCTTTGTGAATAGGATTCTGAGCCTGATTAGTTGCACTGGACTCCAATTGGCTGAGAATTTTCTACAGGGTGCATTCATATGATTCGACTGCAACATCGACAGAACTGGAAAACATGAATGGTAAGACCTATCTGGATTTGTGATTTTTATAAATTATGAAGTTGAAGATTGGTGGTTTAGTTTCTGTTGTTTCTATAAGCTAACTGGAAATCGATGTTATTTGGGGTTTTAGTCTACACATAACTTTATGTATATATTGATGGTGGGCTATCTTTTACTTAATGGTTAGAGTTTGTATCGTCCAATTGCTAGATTGCTTGGAGGTGTATAATGTAGATGGGGACAAAAAAAACAATTATCTTTATAATAATTTACTAAAACGTAAAGTTATCGCATTGTAATGATCAAAGTTGTGAGGAGGATGTTAAGTTGTAACCTCTATTGAACTACTACTATCTTTTGTGACCACAACGTAAAGTTTAATTCAAATTGAAAACTTTATACACAGTGAGTAGAGAGAATGGGCAATAGTTCGTAACAGTTAAGGTTTCACATGTCAATTTTTAATGGGATATATTTATGTGATATAAGTAGAGAAACTTGGCATCTTGTCCAAACGCCTCAAAATATTTTCTGCCATCTGCCTTGTGTTACCATCTCCACGATGGAAGGCACTAACCAACATACCTGACAGCATCCTATCCTGTGATATGTCACTGGCATACTTATCTCCGCCTCTAATAATGAACTTGTCAATCATCCAAAATGCTTTCTGCAATAGAGACTCTTTCTTGTGTTCTTTGACTGCATTTAGAATTCGTTGTACCGCATTCATTTCACTCAGCATGCTTAAACTCTTCTCCACATCAACCTTGTCATCTAATAGCGTGCATATAGCAGCTAATGCTGACTCCACTACTTCCACTTTATCACTCTGCAAACATGTTAGAAGCTTTGTGATTGCATTTGCTTCAACCAAGCAAAACGTGTTTTTTGCAGAACATACCCCCCTGTGGATTGCGCAGATCTCTATTTGCTTCTTTTTGGATGAACGGAGGGAGAAAGACCTAGGCATGCTCAGTGATCCCATGAATTTCGTGCTCCTGGGTTGGGGTGGCCTCGATAAAGTCATAGTTGTAGATGATAGATTTTCTAGTCCAGTTGCTGATAACCTTTGAACTTCATCGCTTGATGTTTTCATCAATAAATCAACAAACACTGATGTCAAATTGTGGTTTCTGGCTAGGTACATCATTTGGGGCTCGTACAGTGTAGTTGTGAATCTCACTAAGATGCCAACGAGACCTTCCAGAAAATCAGTTGCATACCTGCTTGTTCGTGTTCCACTTCTTTGAATCAGATGGATTGCATGCAGAATTTCAGACACTATGCTCTCGTTGACCAGTGCTAAATTAAGAGTCAGATTTTGATGCGGCAGTTTAGCAAGTAATTTGGCTGAAACAGCATGCTTTTCTGTTATCTGATTTGCTTCAACCGGGCACTGAATAAGATTCTCTGGCTGGCCTCTAGTTTTACATAGTCTCTCTGATAGCGTGTGACCGATGTAGGGTGTAAGTGCTATCAGAAGTTTTAATGCTCCAACCCCCAATTGGTCATGAGGATTGTTGATGAGTTCTATCATGGCAAAGCTTGCGTCGGTTTCTTTGATCACTGAGACAATTGTTGCCATTGCTCTGGGTGATTTGGACAAGGATAGGAGAATCCTGATCAAATCAATGTTAAGATCATCTGGGCTTGAGTTCTTGAGCATGTGGATGATGTTGTATACAAAGTAATCCGAGCCTAATGTGTGCCCATGAGTATTCACCTCAAAGGTCTCATGTTCCAGCCCAGATTCCAGTATGTTTGCAAGTATTGTAGCAGCTTCATTCCTGGAGTTCATCAGATCACTGAACATTCGCTTGGTGAACATCTCTTCAACCATGATCTTGATGATGCCAACTTCTACCAGTATCTGGTTGTTGGGGTGATACAATGAAATATGAGCAAGTGCTTTGAAGGCGGCTCTTCTAGCGTCAATATTTTCACATTGCACCAGCCTGATGAGCGCAGGGCAAGCCTTCTCAGCTACATAAGTTTTTTTCTCATGTCCAATATCAATTTCCACAAGGTACACAGCCATTGCCACTTGTGTCTCTTCACTCCCTGCCATATATCATTCGGAAGTAAACTGATATTAATCAACATCAATTCATTGTTTAACATTTCGCTCCAGGTTATGCTTGTATAGCATCTATGCTTCCCAAACTTTGGAGAGAGTAGCAATAATGAATTACCTTCTGTTAGATGTCCCAGAAGAGGTTCCAATAGCCCACTCTCTGCCATTTGCTTGATGTTCTCAGGACACTTCTCTAGATTTCTTAAGATTTGATCTGATGTTTCAGACGCAAAGGCATCCAACTCTCTGTTATACTTTGCGGTGACTAACATCAGTATCGCCCCCGTAGCAGTCCCAATCTTTTTACATGCATGTCGGGATTTCGAAAGCTCAAGCAGTAAGGCTAGTGCAGCATGTCTTACAGGCTGGTGACTGCTTCCCAAAAGTTTGATTACGCATGACATAGTTATGGTCTTCACAATCATTTCCTGTAAGATAACTTTGAAATATAAAAGTCTATTGAAACAAGAAGTAGAAGTTCTATGTCTAGGAGAAAGAAATACAGCAGTGCGTAGGTAGCTCTTGCATAAAAGGTAAATGAAAGATATCCAACCTTTCCAGCATCAGTGTCTTCATCCGCCAGTGTTCTTAATAACTGTAACAGTTCATACCTCACATCTTTACTTCTGTACGTCAGGTATCTATCAAGCAGCTGAATGATCCCAGCTTCACGGACTTGTACCTTGTTGTACTCTTTCCCTTCACAGGTCATTTGCAGATCTCTTAATGCGTCGATAACCATACTTTCTGACCCGCCTAAGGATAAAGCTGCATGAGCCACTTTGATTCTTGCTGCTTCATTTCGTATTTTCCATTCCTTAATTATGGTTTTCAAGACAACATTGACAGTTAATTCGGTTGTCAATTTTCCCCCGGTAACTGGACAGCTAATCTCATCGGAGTTTCCAAAACTGTCAAACCACTCTGCTACTGCTTTTCTTTCGCAGGTCACTCCTGTTTCCGTTGTGACTGGATCTTCCATTATCTCTTTGGTCAATGGGCAGATGAAAGCTTGGTATGGGGGCTCCATGAACTGTGTCACTTGTGGTAACATTGACAAGGATTCACTAAGATTTCCATATTTCCTCTGGCTGCTAGCATTCGTGCTCTGGCTTGGAATATCTGGTAACTCAGTAATTTGTGATTGTGATTCACTAAGATTTCCATACTTTCTCTGGCTGCTAACAACTGTGCTCTGGCTTGGGATATCTGCTATATCGGTCATTTGGGATTGTGATTCACTATACATCATGTAACTTTCATAGGAAAATTCAGGATCAGTGGGATAGAGATCTGTCTCTATCTGCTCTGACACAATTTCCGGTGTATGCTTTACAGAAATCTTCTGCTGCCCGTTCTCTATCATCTCACTTTTGCTACCATCTCCAATGTTAGCATTCTGCATCTCATTTGACAGAGACTGGATTACAACCCCTATATATTCTTCCTCGTCAAATATTGATTCAGGTATGGACTGCAAGGTTTCACCCATCTGCTTCACAACGCCTTCAAAACCTGCCTCAATACTTCTCAGATCAGTAGTTGGTTCCTTTGCATTGCTTTCTTGAGATTTCTCAACCAGGTCCTTTGCCACATCTATACTCTCAGATAGTGATTCAAAGATATCAATCGAACATATGACGTTACTCTCTGCTGTTTGTATCTCCATTAACACCACTGAAACTCGATAAAAGTAGCAAGCGCATTCGAGGAACCTCTCTGTTTCTGCTTGTAAGGACTCCAAAGATCTGATCACCTCGGAAATGGACCCCAACAACGATCCAATCAGTGTATCACTTGTGCCTATATCTTCTTGAGTCTGAGATCACAAAAGTAAGGGGAAGTGTGAGAGATTCCGTTGGTTTGAGAATTGAGAATCGGATAATCAAGGAAGATTGAAGAAAGTCTTACCGACATCCCATTTGTTCAATAGCTGGCCTTGTCTCACTCTGCTTACCAAGTCTGCAACTGCTACTTCATCTAGCAGAAGACTTGAAGGACACACTTGGTCCTCTGTTTCAGAGAAGTTGGAAACCACTAAAGGTAAATTTGTTGCTCAGATGATGATAGAGGAGACGACTTTGAGGAAGTAGGGACACAGTCAGATTCCATGGGACTCTCTAAAAATAAAGTTGAAGGAGTCAAATCAGAGTGCTTTGTTAAGCATTACGTTGTACATCCACATAAAGCACCATACATTTTCTTTACAAAACATGTGTTTGGAATTTATTGACTTTGTTGGTGTCTTCTTGCACTATCTCTCTTCTGCAGATTGGTCAGACCACAAATTAAAGGGTGAATGATGATGGTTAGAAAAACTTGATCTGAAACTTTTTGTAGTTTAATTTTTTTTCATCTCCTTTTTTCATGTACTCTTTTTTTCTTTTTCTTTTTCTTAAGAAGGATAGGGTAGGTACTGTCCAATGTCATTGTCTTTCTTTATTTTATGGGATTGTTTAATGAAAAAAATCTTGAATTGGTAAGATATGCCATTGATTAACATTGACTTGTACATAATTTTTTCATGTTTGTTCTAGTCGTGCGGAATTATCTATGATCAAGTCGTTGGTTCTTGATTGGCTCTTGAAATTAAAATATAGACATATTTTACTTATAATATCAGAAGATATGACGTTTTCTACTTATTTCATCTAAGTCCATAAGTTTTTACACTTTTACATAAATTACATTGCTTGAGTTTTCAATTTTCAGTTACCAAAGGTCAAAAACATATCAAAAGTTGGTAGCAAAAATCACATAATCGCGAGAGAAATAAAATGTATGTATTACTAACAGAGACTCTTTCTTGAAAAGCAAGAAAAGTTGCTTTAGGCTTCTAATAAGTAGGACAGATGTTCAAAACACCAAACAAACAATATAGCAGAAATAGAGATATACAAACACATCCCAAGCTAATAATGCAATATGATGAGTCACGGCATGTTTCTATTGCACAATATAAGCAAGTCAACAAGAAGCGGGGATAGCTCAGTTGGGAGAGCGTCAGACTGAAGATCTGAAGGTCGCGTGTTCGATCCACGCTCACCGCATTTTCTTTTTCATCTTTTATATTTACAACTTGATGGTTTCCTATCCTTAGCTTGCATATCAAAAACCATTCTCTCAACTCTCGAATGAGTAATGACAACACAAAGGACAACACGTAAAGTGCTTTAACTCTCTAATGGTGACACAATGGATTGGATGCGTCAAACTTTATATACTCGTATGAATTGTTTGAGATGAGTGAAACATTCTCTTCTTAACTGTGAATACAACTCAAAATCGGAGATTAAAAAAATAAACCCAAACTTCACTATAGGAACTTGAAAATTACAAAGAAAGATAGATAATGCAATCATGGAAGAAATTTAAGACAAAGTTTCTTTGCTGTTTGAGCCATTATTGGATTGGAGAAGAGGTCTCAACCGTGGTCCGTGGACAAAGTGAATACAATTGTACCATATTGCTAGTAGTGTTTATGCCAACTTCCATAAATTAACTAGTAACCAAATTGCTAGGGTCGTTTGCTAAAACATCTCATCCCTTGCATCAAATGTCAGAAAATTGTATACATTCGAAGCACACTAAACAGTTTCAATATGAAGTTAAATGACTAATAGAAACTATTTCTTGAAACGCAAGAAATGTGTCTTAGGCTTCTAACGGATAAGAATCCAGTAATAATAAGTTGGAAAGATATCAAAAACACCAAATCAGCTGAATCAATGAAGATAAAAGACTAACAGCGATTAATAAACACTAAATTAAATGATAATTGAAAGACAAATCTTCTCTCCTATTGGGATACTGTGGGAGGAAGCCAAAACATGCGACCAGGTGGTGGAGTAGCGTCGGAGAGATAGTGGATAGTGCGAGAGGCGAGATCACATATGCCAAAACCAGAACCATGGCCGGCAAAGTAAACCGAGTTAGGTTTAAGACCAGGGAACTCCTTAGCAGAGAGACAAAAGGATTCATTGTCGCCCAAGAAAATGCAAAGATCACCAATGTCATCAGTGTAAGGACCAACCCCTTGCTCTTCGTCTTGCCTAAACACCATGATCTTGTTGGTCTTCTTGCAAAGGTCTTTGCTGTTCTTGTAACGTGTGTCTCCCCATGGTGCAACTTCTCCTTTGTCCGTGAATCTCTCCACAAACCTGACCAACAACACAGATTAAATTCTTTTCAGTCTCTTATAAGTTATAACAACACAAAGCAGAGAGAAAGACAAAAAGAATAGGTTTTTATTACCATAGAACGATGAAGGATTGGCCTGAAGATGACTCGACGAGTTGCTGTTGAATCTTAAAACGAGAAAGACGCATTTCGTTGTCCGACTCTGGCATTTCTTCTAGAAAGTCAGAGAAGGGGAACCTCATGTAGCCACTAACCGGAGTGATTAAACCGGTTTTAGGTGTGAAATCGGTTGGACCGGTGTAGTCAGGGTTACAATTGTTCAAGTAAAATCTCATGTCTCTCTCCGAGTACATGACAGTAGAAGAGAAAAAAGATGGACAAGGCACGTCGATGCGAGTCCACTCCGAGTCACCAGATCGACAAAGACTGACTCGTGACCCGTAAAACTTGACGGCGACCACACAGTCTTCTTCATTTGGAGATGAGACAGAGACATTAACAGCATGTTCATATTTGTCTCTGGTTATTGGAGGCAGAGATATGAAATTCTTGGAAGGGTTTAAGATGTTAGCGAGACGCACTGTTGAATCTTTCTTGTTCATCGAAGCTAACCATCCTCTTGATGATCCCATCTTGTGAGATTTGTAGACATCCTTCGGTAGAATCTTGTTTTCGATCTTCACTTGCTCTTGCTTCCTCGGATCGTAGAGGTTGAAGTTGCCGAGGAGGAGATAAGGTGTTGCAGCTGCCGTGGCCGTTGAGAATTCCGACCGTCGGAAACAGAGGAAATGGTTCAGGGCTGATGAAAGCTTTGAGATTCGGCACATAACCTGAGACATTGTTGTAAATCCCTAATTTGTGAGAAGAGAATCAAAGACAATAAACCCTAGACACCAAAACTCTCTAGCTTCTTTCCTTGTGGAATAATTTATCAGAGGTTCAAGAAAATGTAAAGTTTCTTTAACCGGAAAAAGCATGTGAAGAAATTACAGAAACAAACCCTATATTTCTAAAATATTACCGCAAAGCAAAATAATCAGCTAGTAGGCTTAAATTGAAAATCTACAAAGTATTGGTTGGTTTTCAGAAAAAGGGAGAAGATTTAAAAACAAAAATAGGCTTAAATTGAAAATCTATAAAGTTTTGGGTAGTTTTTTAGGAAAAAAAAAAATTAAAAAATTAAAAAAAATTTGCGGTGAGCGTGGATCGAACACGCGACCTTCAGATCTTCAGTCTGACGCTCTCCCAACTGAGCTATCCCCGCTTCTTGTTTATTGAATTACTTATATTTAATAACAAACTATAGAATGTATTATTGTGTTTTGTAACTCAAACAGTTTCGGCTGTACTTTATAAACATCTAGTTATAATACTCTTCATGAAAATAATAAGACATTAACTTGTTTTGCTTTGCTATCAAAAGATTAGTGCTACTAATTTTCCTATATATATATGCCAAAAATGCATATTATATATGTTTAGATCGTTCAATATAAACCCTCTTTGGAACAATTCAATTAATATTTCTTGCACTATTCAGACAAGAGTATCATAAGACTAAAGTTAGGACTCTGCAATAATAACAAACAGACGGAGACGATCCCTTGTTTCTCGAATGTTGAGAAAGACTCTAACTTCAATCCTACTAAGAAGACCCTTCTCTTCGATTCCCCCAAAACCATCGCCTAAAACCCTAACCCCACATCAGAAGTCATCCTTTGAATCCACTCTGCACCATTCCCTAATCGCTCACGACACTGATCAAGCATGGAAGGTCTTTCGATCCTTCGCTGCTGCTTCTTCTCTCCCCGAGAAAAGCCTCCTCAACTCTCTAATCACCCACTTGTCCTCCTTCAACCACGCAGATCAAAACATTTCCCGCAGGCACAGACTCAAGCGTGCCTTTGTTTCTGCTACTTATGTTATCGAAAAAGATCCGATTTTGCTGGACTTTGGGACCGTCCTTACGGTTCTGGAGTCGATGAAACTGGCGAAAGCTTCAGGGCCAGCGTTGGCTTTGGTGGAGTGTATGTTTAAAAACAGGTACTTTGTTCCTTTTGATCTCTGGGGGCATTTGATTATCGATATCTGTAGAGAAAATGGAACCTTGGCTGCGTTTCTTAAGGTGTTTAAGGAAAGTTGTAGAATTGCTGTAGATGAGAATCTTGATTTCATGAAACCGGATTTGGTAGCCAGTAATGCGGCTCTTGAAGCGTGTTGTTGGCAGTTGGAATCTCTGGCTGATGCTGAATATGTGATTGAATCTATGGCTGTTTTGGGTGTGAAGCCTGATGAATCAAGCTTTGGGTTTCTTGCTTATTTGTTTGCAAGAAAAGGGCTTCAGGAGAAGATTAGTGAGCTTGAGAATTCGATGGATGGTTTTGGGTTTGCGAGTAGAAGAATCCTTTATTCTAATATGATCAGTGGATATGTTAAGAGTGGTGATTTAGATAGTGTTTTTGATGTTATACTGCGTAGTATTAAAGGAGGGGGAGAAGACTCCAGTTTTGGTGAGGAAACGTATTGTGAATTGGTTAAAGGGTTTATGGAGAGTAAAAGTGTTAAGAAATTAGCCACACTGATAATTGAAGCTCAGAAGCTGGAATCTTTGTTCTTATACGGTAACGGTTCTGTTGGGTTTGGAATCGTAAATGCGTGTGTCAAGCTCGGATTTTCAGGTAAGAGTATTCTTGATGAAATGAATGCTCAGGGAGGATCTGGAGGGATTGGTGTGTATGTGCCGATCTTGAAGGCCTATTGCAAAGAAAGCAGAACAGCTGAAGCTACCCAGCTGGTAACCGAGATCAGCAGCTCTGGGCTTCAATTAGACGTTGAGACCTATAACGCTATGATCGAAGTTTCCATGACGAAACAGGATTTCCTATCGGCGCTTACGTTGTTTAGGGATATGAGAGAAACAAGAGTAACAGATTTGAAAGGATGCTATTTGACGATAATGACAGGTCTCCTTGAGAATCAGAGACCTGAGCTAATGGCGGAGTTTGTGGAGGAAGTTTTGGAAGATTCTCGCGTAGAAGTGAAGTCACATGATTGGAATTCGATTATTCATGCCTTTTGTAAATCTGGGCGCCTAGAAGATGCAAAGATTACATTCAGAAGGATGTCTTTCCTTCAATATGAGCCAAATAACCAGACGTACTTGTCGTTGATCAATGGATATGTGAGCTGCGAGAAGTACTTCGAGGTGGTGGTTTTGTGGAAAGAGTTCAAAGACAAGAAAGCAAAACTGGAGCATGCCCTTGCGGATGCGTTTTTGAATGCATTGGTCAAAGGAGGGTTCTTTGGCACCGCCTTGCAAGTGATAGAGAAATGTCAGGAGATGAAGATATTCATAGATAAGTGGAGGTACAAAGCAACGTTCATGGAGACTCAGAAGAATCTCAAGTTGCCAAAATTGAGAAAGAGGAAGATTAAGAAAATGGAGTTTCTTGATGCATTTAAGAACTGGGCTGGTCTTACCACATGAAAAACCTCTCAACTATCAAATCCAAAACTTGTCATTGTGCGGCTAATATAAGATTGATTTCTTATTGTCGCAACCAAATGTCTGGTGCAAGTTCCTTCGTAACTTAATATTTTTTAAGCAGAGGCCCTCAATAAGAGTGTCAGCGATATAAGCTGCTAGAGCCATCAAGAACTGGTTTGGTGAATGTGCAAAGTTATCAAGAAACAGAATCGATTAGAGGAGTGAACAAGAGATGCCAAAATCAAAAAAACATTTGCAGATTAAGAATGCATAACAACGCAAAGCATATAGTTGCCCAAACCAAGCTCATCTCTTTGAAAGTTCAAACAGACTTTCTTCCTGTCTCACATTAGTTACAGACAATTATATCATATCATTCCAAGTATATAACGGGTAAACAGACTTTCTTTCATAGATAATGAACATGTTCACGTTCATATATTATTTGTTTAAAAAGGCGTTTTCAAGTATATAATAAATTACAAGTCAATTAAAAAAGTGTCTAAGAGTCTACGACCATCTAAATGATTTCACTTCGCCACCCATTTTTAGTTTTTAGAAGACCGACTCCAGCAAATACTACTCCGGCTTGATAATTTTCTGTAGTCGATAAGAAACCCCATACTAGAATAGGCCTATGCACTCCCATCCAGCGAAGGAAATCAGAACTGCATCTGAAGTGCCACGTCACTGGGTCTATACTCTGGCCCAACGCCTTGTCTCCTGCCAAAGTTTGAAACACTCTTTCTATGTGTATTTACAAGTAACCCGAAAGCCCACCTCTGAGTTGAGGTTAACCATCAACATTCATCATTGCTGATTGCAAAAGAATCTTTCCCCTTGATCAATGTTGGCTGTTGTATTGGCCTGAAGAAGCTAACTTACTTTGTCCTGAATGTTAGATGTGAGTAGGAGCTTCCAATATGTAAGTGACCTGAATGTGCTGCTGCAGCTCAGTTGAAGAAGTATGGCGACTCTAGAACATTCCTTAGATCAAAGTCGCCTCGTTCAGGTAATGGCGGAAAACTTAGGTCTGGGAAGGACTTTTGGAAACTCTCCAACAACTATTAATACACAGGTAAGCCATCCATCATGAGTTAGTTATACCAAATGAAGAAAAAAAAATGTAATGTTGGTTATTGGCTTTTACATTTTCTAAGATTGGCTTTTCGTAGAGCTCAACAAACTTCTCTCTCAGTATTGTGTTCATTATTTCAACATCACAGGCATGCGTCCAGAACGAATCATGCACCCCTACAAATTAGATTTTGGTATGAAATGAAGAGTAAGAATCTAGGATGTAAAAATCAACATCAGTTAGAAGCATAAGGAAAGGCTAACGCTGACCTGCGAAACTCAAGCCCGCACTGTTGCAGGCAACTGCTGTCATCATCATGTGAGACCCATCAAGAGAATGTATAAAATTTGGCGCGAAAGCTGTCATCTGCCTCCTCGTCTGAACCTGAATCAAGAATACAGTATGTGGTGCAGAAAGATGAGACTTTTCTGCTTAAAACTCATAAAATCTTTAATTCTATCCAAATGCTACATTATGATAAGATGTAGGCTGAACCCTACTCTGTCTACAAATAAGAATTCCAATTGATGCAAAATATGGAGAAAAGTTTTGATTTCTTGGGTTACCTTATCAGTCTCACGGCTTAGAGTCAAGACCTGAAGGGTAGTCTTAACCTGCCAAAATTAATGCCTCAGTATCAGTGACATTTAAGAGAATAACTTTTTTTTTCTCAGCTAATCATATGTGCTCCTTCATGTATCAAATAAGTTAGAGCATTACCAAGTGTCTTCCAGGCAACCGATAGGGTTGTACAACTGGAAGTCCAAGAGGGGTCGTCCAACAAACTGCTTTGTTTTCTGCAGCTATTATCTGTCCAGCACAGAAAACAGCTCTCATTGTCGTAACCAATTATCAAGTGAAAATTCCTTCTCTAACTTATGATTTCTTAAGCAGAGGCCACAATAAGAGTGTCACAGGTGTAAGAACTGACCTTTGCACATTCACCAAACCAAGTCTTAATAGCTCTAGCAGCTTCAAACATCTCTTCCAGTGCTTTCAAAGTGATCTAGAAAACCAATAGAGGAGTAAACCTTTGATGCCAAAATAAAATAAATCTTTCGCAGAATAATTATGCATAACCATAGAAAGCATAGCGCTGCCCAAAACCAAGCAGGTAAATTATCCTTTTCTTACTTTTGCTGCATAACAAGCTGCATGAAAAGTCAGTGAATCGTCCCCAAAGGCACCACGTTCTTTTAACCTCTTCTTTATTTGGTCGCGTGCGCCAGAATAAGTAACACCATACACTGATGTCATGACAGTCTGTTTTACCA